ACCGCACGTTTTATAACTAATTGCCTTGTTTGTTCCGGTGTGACTGGTCGCTCCCATAAGTTGAATAATAATTCGTCCTGGGCGTGTCTTTTCCGCCCACACTCTGCTGGGTGGGGGATATATGAAAAAAAATGTATTAAAAAATACATTTTTAATGATCCCAGAAGTGCTATTTGGTTTACAATGGCACACATAATAAGTACATACTTAGAAACACGTACGTACATAAATACACAATTAGAAACACGTACATACATAAATACATACACTTATACATACATAAATACACAACGCACAATATTGCACCAATAAATTAAACAGAACAATTTCACAACTAGATATATGCCATTGCTGGTCGCCACTGTGCAGCGCCGTTTGTTGAGCTGGGGTTGTCGTGTCTTGCTCAAGGACACACCCCATTGTCCAACCATCTGATTCTTGTGTCACCGACACTTGCTTGGACTTTACTCTTAGGGTCTAAACTCACTACTCGTGGGTAGTTGGTGGGTGCTCTGGTGTGGTTTGCTCCTTCTTTCCTATCGAACATCTATCGTCCTTATCTCTCCTCCTTCTTTTTGTGTATGTCAGCGCTTATATGACCTTATGGTGTTGCAAGTGCCGTAAAACGTTTACGAAAACTCGCTACTCACTTAACCACTGGAGCTCTCTGACACAGGCTGCTGACCCTTTAGTTGACAGTGTTTGCAACAACCTCCATCCCCCCCCCCCCCCCGCACTCGGGATGGTAGTGATGGGGGTGTTTTACCCTTGGAGTAATTATATATTATTAATAGTTACTCCAAGGTTTTACCCATACACGCCGCACACTCGGGCTTAGAGTGGCGCTTTTCCCTGTGTCTTTTGCCTGCCTTAATCTCTTTTCCGAGCCCCGGGGAACAGCGACTGTATTTTTAAAAACAGGAAAATAAACTGTCAAGGGGAACTACAGCGACTGCGCAGCCCTCTCTTTTATTTCGTCGATCTGTCGATGAAAGGTAACATCTAGCGAAATCGTGAGTGGTTGCAGAGCGCTCTGGTGTGGTTTGGTCCTTTCCTTTCTCAGACATCTATCGTTCAATTTCTCTTCCAATGATAGATACACTCTAGTGGCGCAAGCTTTGTAGGAGGAGTGGAACAACATTCCTCAAATCAAGATTCAACGAATAAATTAGCTCAGAGAGACAGAGATGCCAGGCTGTTATTGCTGCGCAAGGCGGGCATACTCGTTATTGAAATCACGCTCTAAAGTAATACGTGCAATTTTCTTCAAATCGTGTTTTGCGTTTGTTTGTTTGTTGTTGTTGTTGTTGGTTGTTTTGTGTTTTTTTTTGGGGGGGGGAGGGGGAGTAGTCTTCTTGTCGTGAGTAGTTTGTGTATAATATAAACAACTAGTCTTGCATATCGTTTAGTCTTTGAATAGGCTAAAATAATTTACCAGGAATATTAATGTAGCCCGATACTAACCTGCTCAAAATTAGGCCTGAAATCTATGGACAGTTACTTTTTTCTGAGGGTATAGAATCGACAGTCGTCTGTGGTGAATCGGTTAGACACGTAGCCGTTGCCTGCAGAAGACCCGGGTTCGATTCCCGCTTGGGGGAGAATTATTACTGACTATCATGGTTTTTTTTTTTGGGGGGGTAGCTTTCTCAGCGCGGGTTGGCTCTGACAAGTAGTGTTGAAGGCCGCATCCTAGATAGTTTAAATATTGTTAATGGAAGCATCAAACACTTACATTAAAGAAGAAAATATATTGAATATTGTGTAGAATCGGGCCAAAGAAGCCTTCCACAGAGTACATTTTCTGACGTCATGAGCAGTTAATCATTGTGTTTATAGTGCTAGATCTAGATATACTTTGTTAACCTGGGTGAAGGTCGCTGTTTGTTCTTATGTCACTTACTTAATCTTCTTTGGCGATCTCATTACTTCTCTTTCCTCTCTGTTCTGTCTGAAATGTTAATGCGATTAGCATTGTTAATGTGACACAATCGGCTCACGGAGTCAGCGTTGTCATGGCGAACTTGCGCTGTCGGTAGCAATAAGAACATTGTGTCACGGCACGGTGGAATCAGGCTCTCGTCAATTTTATGGGGCTTATTGGTCTCGTTCGTCTTAAAGTTGTTCCTTTGCCTTGCTGTCGTGGAAAGAAATACCCATTTCTCTTGAGTACGGGTCGATCTATTTTTGCAATTGAAGGAAGTGGGTCGCCTGGTTTCAAAGGTGGAATTACCCAGGCTGCTAAAGTTTGGTTGTTTACGAAGCTTGAGAGTCTGTGGAAACTGACAATTTACATTTGTTTTTGTGCTTAACGTTTTTCAGTAAAATCCACACTGATATGGGTTCTTAAATGGACGTGAAACTTGTTGAGCCAACCCCCCT